GTGGGCGGGAAACCGGGTTACAAAAGAATACTGAATGCTCACAGATAGGTAGAGGGGTGTGTGTGTGTGTGTGTGTGTGTGTGTGTGTGTGTGTGCTCGCACGCGCGCTTTTCCATCAACAAGTTAGCAGTAGGAGTCTCTGGGAAGTGGTTTTACAAGTGGCTTTAGTTTCCTGTCTAGGTTTGTTATGAATTTTACAAGTTCCCAAGACATTTATTGCCTTCGTAATCAGAAAAAATGTTATTTTTTAAAAGTTTATGAATGGTTTCCAGAACAAAAACAAAGACAACTTCCACATTCCATGTGTTATCCCTCCAGGCCTTACCAGTGCGTAATTGGTACCAGCAGGTTAATATAAGAAACTGATTTTGGCTGATCCACTGCCTGCTGAATGGATGTGCTCCCAGTGTAATTACCCAGGTGTCCACAAGCACAGAGGGACCCGGGCCCGGGCGGGCAGTAGGAGACAGCTGGGGACATGAGGTCTGAAACTCCTTCCTGTTGTGACAGGTGCCTGGGGACTGTTCCCAGGGCAGGGACCAAATCCTGTGTGTTCACCACCAGAAGCTCTTGGCTTGTGGCCCCAGGCACCTCCAGCCGCCCCAGCTCACTGTCCTGCTCCTTCCTGGGCAGGCCTGTGCTCAGGGCTCTCAAATTGAGCCCTTCAGACTCAGCTGCAGCACAAAGAGCTCAGAAACACGGGTTCTTGTTCCACCTTTTTCTTCTTTCACGGTCTTGGGCAGTTATTCATTTTTAGAATCTTTGAATGGAGTTAAAATTTTTGCCTTTGAGTTTACTGTAAGGGGAAAACGAGATGCTGCATATGAGGGGATTTGGGCAATACAGTGTGTGTCATCCGTGCACCACACACCTAATGTCTTGTCTGCCAGCTTTGTGCTTGGGTGAGAGTGCATTCCCAAGGTAGGGGATTCGCAACGAGAGAACCCTGGACCACCCTAAAGATTCCTTGCACCCCAATCTCGCTCTCCCCACCCTGCCCATCCAGCTCCGTCTCTTCTCTCTCTCGTGCAGCAGCCAAGTCAGGCCCCTTTAAACACAGGTGTCCACAGTGCGCCCCAGACCTCCTGGGGAGAGGAGGAGGCACTCACCCTGCTGGGTCTCCAGGCCCAGAGGCAGGCTCCCATCATGGTGGTCAACCTGCCCGGCTCTCCCTGCAGGAGYGCGGCTGTGAACAAGGGGCGGCTGAAGAGGCTGGGCATCACCCACATCCTGAATGCTGCCCACGGCACCGGTGTCTACACGGGCCCTGAATTCTACACTGGGCTGGAGATCCAGTACCTGGGCGTGGAGGTGGACGACTTCCCCGAGGTGGACATCTCCCAGCACTTCCGGAAGGCTGCGGAGTTCCTGGACGAGGCCCTGCTGACCTACAGAGGTGAGGGCTCTGCTGCTCGGGCTGTGGACTCCCCCGGGGTAGAAGCAAGGGGGGGTCTGACAACACGGCTGTTCTCTAGGAAGTGGAGAAAGGACAGGATGATCACTGACCCCACAGGCAATCCCGGGGGCCTCTCGTGTGCGGGTGCTGTGGTGGCACCCAGGCAACAGATGGACACGCTTAAGCTGGCCAAGGAGAGATGACAGGGAGGGCGGGAGGTGTGGGGTGGTGGCAAGCGCAAGGCAGGGACTGTCCTGCGATGSCTCCCAGGGCTGACCGGCTCCTTGGAGAGGCCATCTGGGAGGTCCTTCTGAGTGCCTGGTCCCCAAGGGAAGTGACCTGAGAGTAGCCACAGCAGAGCCTGGAGGACAGGCTGGAGCCAGGACAGTGGCCACAGAACGGCAGCCAGAGGGCAGGGTCTCAGTCCAGGATTCGTTCTGCTTTTTCCACCTGGACTGGGCTGTTTCCCTGTCCCGGGGAGCTCCAGTTTTCTTCAACACAGAACAAAGATCAAAACAGCTGATTCTCAAGTTGTCATGAGGGGCTGGGCTGGGCCTCAGCGGGAGAGCACTCGCCTAGCACGTGCGAGGCCCCAAAATAAAGACGTTGTGTCCAACTAAAAAATAAATACTAAAAATTTTTAAAAAAATAAAGTTGCCATGAGGGGTAAAAATCTTTAATGCATATCAGGGTTTATTTAGCATAACACCCAGCTCTTGGTGAATGCCTGAACGTCATGCCATGATTGTAATATACCATGTGGCATTCCTGGGAAGGGCATTTCCTGTCACCACCAACATCAGAGATAGGTCACATCCAATGGGACATGCACACACGTCACGTGTGTGTCATAAATACA